GAAACACCTCCAAATAAGTTTGGTTTTAAAAATTAAAAGATTGGCAAACTTTCAGTCTGTTTGAGGATCATGCCTTCTGTGTCCTGTGGGCTGCATGCCCCCCCACTCCACATGGCCTGTTTCGTAGCTCCCACATCATTCTCTGGTACCACATCCCTCCCTGCATCTACTTGATAGCTTGATGTCACAAGACGGATGGGATGCAGATAAATTAAAACATGTCCCGTGATCCCTCACCCTCAAGCCTTCTCCCTGTGCTTTTTGATCTTCCTCCACCTCTTCTCTGTAGGTATATAACTGCGTACATATGTGTGTGTACACATGCAGCCTTCCCAGCTGATGTTAGACGGAGCTTGGGGAAATAACTAGAAGATTCTAGGAGATGTGGTCCAGAAAAGTCATTCTTTCCACAGCTATGCCCCAGATGTAACTTTTAGGGCCAAATAGGATGGCATGGGGAATTGGAGTTGGGTCCGAGCGAGGGATGTAAATCCTTCTTTGTCTCCTCCTCACGTGCGAAGGGAACGAGAAGCCACAAAATTATGTGTCTCATCCCATGGAAAACAGAAGAGAATGAGAGCAGTTGTGGACTTTGAACAAATTGCACGAATGTCACCCAAACATAAGCCCAAGCAAAACGATTGCACTTTTTTGCTGTAGGAATCTTGAAGGGTTAGAAGAGGGGGAGGGAGTCATGTGGACGTTTCCAAACGGGCAGCCGGGCCATTGGGCTTGCTGTGCGTGAGAGTGTCTCGTGCTTGGCTTCCCAGGCAACGCAAACTTTACGCAGAGCGAATGTGCACAAATTTTTGGAGACAGGGATGAGCGAAAAGGGTGCTCTTGGTTTCCCGGCAAGGGACCTCTTGAAAAATGATGGAGGCATCTCATCAAGTCCAAACACCCTAAATCGTCCCTGGGAGTTCATGGATTGACATCCATGGGCCTGTCCCAACACGTCAACGGCCCCACTTGTGTGGCGGGCCATACGCTCAACCTGACGTTTATGACTGGCTGGGAGATGATGATCTGAGGGTCGTGGACCTCAAAATTCCCACCCTGTCATGGACAGATCATTATCGGCTAAAGTTTGGACTGTCCCCCTCCATTGGGGGGGGGAACTGAACTTATTAGGATGGTCCTCATCATGGACCTACTGGGCACAATTGGTGTCCGAAATGTTTTGAGGGAGTTTCATTGATCACTGAATCATGATGTTGGAAGGGGGCCTCTAAGGCCATTGAGTCCAACCCCCAGCTCAAGGCAGGGATCCCAAAGCAAAATTTCCAACTTTATCTGGTTGGTGCTCCTTTCAAAACCTGGGTTTTTAAAAGAAGCTTTCAGGGACATCCTCCCTCTGTGAGAGATTTTTTGATCTATCGTGTGTACATTTTCAGCTGTCGCCTCTGGAGGATTTTCTTATTATTATCTGTACTTTTTAATCTGCCGTGGGAGGTGCTTTTAACTGTTGTAACAGGTCCAGAGTGGTGGCTTGAAACTAGACAGGCAGTATATAAATACAGTTAATTAATTTTAATTAATTCAGTAGGATCCCTTATGCAAGGGAGCAAGTATCTGGTGGTTCACATCCATACTCTAAAAATATTAAAAAGAAAAATGCTAGAATTAAATATTTCAACGATATCATTCCCAGAATTGGCCACTAGAGGGAGGAAGAGACCAGGCTACCGTATATCCCTGTAAATAAGCCCTAGTACTATATGATTTTTTTTTCAAGGTGATTGTATGTAAGCCCTACCCCCAAAAATAAGCCTTAGTTAAGTAAAAACCTGCCCTCCACCAGGGATTCACTGGGGAACCCGAGCCACCGTCATGGCGCCTCCTGGCAGCGCTGACAAAGGAGGCGCCCCTGGAGGAAGTGGCACCAGGGGTGTTGAAATAAGGGGAAAGAGAACGGGAATTAATAATAATAAATAAACTAAATGATGATGGTATTTGAAGCCTTAGTTAAGTGAAACCCTGCCCTCCTCCAGGGATTCACTGGGGAACCTGAGCCACCATCGTGGCGCCTCCTGTCAGCGCTGATGAAGGAGGCGCCCCTGGAGGAAGTTGATGTTGAAAGAAGGGAAAAGAGAACGGGAATTAATAACATAAATAAAATAAATGATGATGGTATTTGAATAAATAGAGATGGTTGTACTTAAAAAAAATTAAACATCCTCCCAAAATAAGACCTGATGGGCTTTTTTGACCAAAAATTAATATAAGACCTTATTCGGGGAAACACGGTTTTGAGCAAAAATTAATATAAGACCTTATTCGGGAAAACACGGTATATATGGTGTTCACTATTAAAATAGTGTTTTCTATAATGCATATTTTTCACCATCTGTTCGGGGGGGGCCTTGGAACCGGATCTCCATGTATGGTGTTCACTATTAAAATAGTGTTCGCTATAATGCATATTTTTCACCATCGGTTCGGGGGGTGGGCGTGGAACCGAATCTCTGTGGATATGGAGCTCCTACTTATTTACATAAATAAATGAACAAACGGAAGGATTTAATGAAGGATTTAACCGTTATTCTTTGCGTCTTTAATCCAAGCCAGTCTTTCCAGCATTCAGAACTCAACAGGCCTTGGTGTTGGTATACTCTGTGCAGCCTGCCTTCTCTTGGACCAGTTCTGATAACCGAGAGTCCCTCTTTTTTTTCCCTTTGTTTCTCAAAAAAAAGGAGACCCCTCGCTGCCTCCAGAACCCGAAACAGCCACAGAAGACTCCGGGAGAGGTAGGGAACAAGAACCAGACATATTTTGGAATAGTCCAAGCCCTGAGTGTCCCTTAATCGTGTTTCAAATACAATATACAGCTCAGGACATGAATGTAAATAATAGTGACCTGCCAATCATCAGCAATAGGTGCATCTCTCCAATCTGTTGCCTTTTTTTAAAAAAAGCAGTTAATATCTTTCCATCCTGTTTCGGGTGCATTTTCTCAGCGTTTCCTCTTACCAAATCAGAGCAAAAAAAAAAAAATTCGCAAAAATGGACGAAGTGGCTTAGTTATGGATGAGTCCACTGCTTAGCATGATTTGCACCAAGGCTGGGCTCCTTGCTGCCCTCCAGTGGTTTTACAACTACAGCTCCCATCAGCTACAGCTAGCACAGCCCAGGGAGAGGCATTTGGGGAGAAGCAGTTCAGCAGAATGTAAAGGGGCACGCGCTTCCTGGTTCACGTGGCTTGGCGGCAGCTCTCCTGGGTTTCAGAGGGATTGAAAGCGGCATTTTCTCTGCCTGCAGATCAGCTGGACTACAGCTCCCACAATCCCCAGACACAGCATGGCCCATGCTGGTGGAGGACAATGAGAGTTCTAGCTTATCATGTCTGGAGGATGCTCAGTTAAGAATGTACGCTTCCCATTTTGGACCATCGCAAGGAAATTGATGGAGATCTTTCTTGAGGGTCTCAAAAGTTGGGACTCCAGAAAACTCCATTTTGCTTTCTCCGAAGCAACCCACTGAAAGGCTTTCTGTCCGGGAAACCTGGAAATGTGGTTTAAAAAATTGTGGTGCCCCTAATTCTCTCTGCTTAGCACAGCCCGTGTTTTTGTTATCTGGAGGTTCCTGCAGCTGTAATCCAGACAAAGAGCTATTCCAGGATCTGTTGTGCTCTCCTTTAGAAGTATATATAAGAACGACTAACCCTTAAACACTGGAAACACTGATATTTGTTCATGGGGCCTCATCTCAGAAAACCTACCTTGTTTCCTCCACCAGACTTGTCTCTGGCGCTGGAATGTCATGGAGATGTGGTTATTTCAACCGGGGAGGGGGGGAGCCTGGGAGAACGTTCCCTGTGAGGTGTGAGTGGGGTCTCCTTGATTTGCACAGAGAGCCCTTGAGCCACAGTAGTGGCCGTGGGACCCGCCTAAGAGGCATTTTGGGTTTTGTACGGATGTCACCCATATTTTTCCTACCATCCGTACGACGTTTCTCTCACCTTGCTTAGTACAGTGACTTTTCCCATGGCTTT